AGCACCGCCACCCGAACCGCAAGCAGCAGCAGCAGCAGCAGCAGCAGCATGTGGCAGCAGCAGCCCCTGACTATGGGATGGGGGCCTGAGTTCCTGGACCTAGGGCAAGCCGGAATTGAGCCGAACTGCCTGCTCCTAATACACTTTAAATGCAGAGCTGCAGCAGGGGGCAGGTTCTGGACCTGGCATGAGCCAGAACTGAGTGGGGCTGCTGACCAGCCTGCTAAAAAATTTACTGGCAGGTGTGGGGGGAGGTAAATGTGTGTAGTCTACAGCATTAACCGATAATCAGATAATCCGTTACAGGTTATCAGTTAATCGGTTACTACACTATCACATCCCTAGTTTAAATTACCTGGTTTGCTCTCATGCTTGGACACAAATGCTTCCTCTCATGTCCAGCTTTACTTCACCGAATAGAGCTCACTGGAAACTAACCCAAACCCAAAGTTATGCCATACACGTCAATCTGTCTGCAGAAAAGGGATGCAGCATCTCACAATAAACTAGCCATGCCAGGATCCATTAACATTGCTGGGGAAGGGCAGAAGTCAGGAATTGATTCCCCATTCAAAAGGATGGGAACTAGTTACAGCTACTTATCATAGACCTGGAGTGGTGGGTGACATTTTTCAAAAGTACCATAAATCTAGCATCCTGAGCAATTTTTTACTGAACCTTTTTTTTTTTACTGAACCGTTCCTGAATCAAGCCAGCCACACATACTGACAACTTACCTGAGGGGTGCAGAGGACTTTCAATGCCTTCCGGACACTCCCCACCCGGCCACAGATGTCAAAAGACTGCAATGGAAACACTGAACATTAGACACTGCTTATAGGGTGATGACAGACATAGAGTCCTATAACTTGGCAAACTTCTCGGGAGAGATGATATCCAAAGAGATATTCATAGGATAGGAGCAAGTCTGGGAAGCAGTCATGCACATGAATCTTTGGGGTGACCAGGAGCAGAGAAACAGACATGTGTTTATACAGTCGGTCCCTGACTTACAAACGTGTTATGAACCAAACACTTGGTCGTAATTCGAAGTGTTCGTAAGTCAGACCCCATTCATTTACATGCAACCGCGCTGTTCATAAGCGCGCATCACGTTCATAACTTGGAGATCACCTTTACGACTGCTTAATGGGAGGTTTGGTCATAAGTACGAACGGTCGTAAATCGACCGTGCATAACTTGGGGACCGGCTGTATTGCAATGTGAGAAATAAGACCAGCCATACTGGTTCAGACCAAAGGTCCATCTAGCCCAATATCCTGCCTTCTGAGATTGGCTCATGCTAACTACCCCAGAGGGAATGAACTGAATAGGCAGTCACCAAGTGATTCCCGCTCCGCCATCCATTCCCAGCTTCTGGCAAACAGAGGCTAGAGACATCATCCCGGCCTATCCCGGCTAAGAGCCACTGATGGGCTTATCTTCCATGAATTTATCTAGGTCAGTGTTTCTCAAACTGGAGTCCTAAGGCAGGCTTCCTTATCCTGGTTCTGCACAGCTGCTGGAAGCGGCCACCAGATCCCTGCAACTACTAGGCACATGGGCAGCCAGGGAGGCTCTGCATGCTGTCCCCCACCCCACCCCCAGAGCTGACTCTGTAGCTCCCATGGTCAGGACCTGTAATCAATGGGAGCTGCAGGGGCTGCACCAGTGGGCTCAAGGGCAGTGCACACAGCCTTGTGTGCATTGCGGGACCACTTCTGGGAGCTGCAGTCAGCACTGCCAACACTTTGAACCCCCTCTTCACCCCAACCCCTATGTTCCAGCCCAGTCTTCTCCTGCACCCAAACTCCCTCCTCGAGCAGGCATCCTCTGTCCTCCTCATACACCAGCCCTCAGCCACAACCCTCCAGAGCCTGCACCCCTAGCTGGTGCCCTCACCATGTGGCCTGTTCTAAGACTGCATATGAATGCTGGGTTACCACCTTAAGGGTTTACAGGCTTTGTCCCAGGATCAGGTCCAGTATTCAATTATTTTATGGTTGGGAACCCTGATGTGCACCGTTGCAACACTCACACGATAGGAACTCTTGTATATATTTACAAATGTAGTTTATTAATACAATTAGCACAGTCCAATTTCGTAGGATGGATAGGGAATGTACAGTCATATTTCCCTACCATATACTCACACTATTTCTCCTAGAGAACAACCTGAGGTGTTAGCCATCATCTTACTCGTTACCTTTGCCTTCCCCATCATCACCAGGGGCCATCATTCTCGCTCCTTCCATGGACTACATCTCCTCCTCCTCCCACCCCCAGGTTGGGACACTACTTTTATCATATGTTATGCTGACATTGCTATATTGGATGCATATTCTGTAGGGGATGTTTTCTTTTCTTCTTATTTGTATTTCCTTATCTTACAAATCTCTTTTTCCAAGAGATTAATTTATTACTGATCTCAACTTATTATCCTATGTATCAGTTCGTTACCATCAACCTTTTGTGGTCGTTTGTCACATTTATTATTTCTGTCCTACTTGGTTATTAGGTCTGGTCTCAACTAGTTATTTTGGGTTTTTCCAAGTACCGATATGCCTGATAAGTTTGAGGGTATTCTTGGAAGTGCCTATACCATGGAAAGTCCCTTGATCTTACTGCCATCTAGATGAACAGTCCCGAGAACACATGAGCTAACTGTGCAATATGGGTGAAAGATCCCAGGCACAAATACTAACTTTGCCTTAGCTCAACATATAGGACATGGTCTTTAATCCCAACCCCCTCTTCCAGCCTGGTGAATGTGAAAGTAAGGGAGGGTGAGCAAGTCTGGAACAAGCAGGGGGCAGGGGCAGAGAATCAGTGAAGGAGCAGGGAAGGTCCCATAAACTTTTAATCAAAATGTGGACCCTCCAGTTGCTAAAGTTTGAGAACTGCTGATCTAGTTCTTTTAACCCTCCTATAGTCTTGGTCTTCACAACACCACTGAGAAGACTATAACTTTAAGCAGGGCACACATGTTAGAAGAAAGGGGGACAAAACAGTCCCTCACGGTCTGATCTCTGATATGCCTGCTAGTGGAATAGTCCATTCATTTCTGGATGTTTCATTATCAACTGGAAGGAGTTCAGAGAAGAGCAACCAAAAGCAGTGTAGGCTGATTTCTGAAATACATACAGACTGGCTAAGTGGTGACAATGGGTGAGTCAGTGTGTGTGGTGGGGGGCACAACTCAGTAACTGTCTACAAATATATCAAGAAGGATAAATACCCAGGAGCCAGAAAAGTTATTTAGCATAACACAGCAGTGAGGAGAGAGCTAAAAGTCTAATGGAATATCAGAGATAGATTTCAGAGAGTTTAATTTATCAGCTGGTGGGATGGTGTCCCAAGACAAACAGAGAAAGCCATACTGCAAATGAGACTAAACAAGATGTGAGAAAAGGCCCCACAGGGAATAGTTCTGCATTAGCAAGGAGTGGGGTTGCATGGCGTTAACAGGACTTTTCCATCTCTAACTTGCTTAGATATGGAGTGAGTGGGAGGGCCAGGGGAAGATCTAACATGAAGAACGGTATTAGACTTACAGGAGATGCACACACATCAGAAAAATAGGATGTTTTTTTGGGGGGAGGAGTGGGGGATTTTTTGGTCAGTGTGATTTAGTGGTGTCTCTGCAGAGAATGCCAGTGAGATCACTGTGCAATAGATGTGGAATCAAATGGAGGCAGCAGTAATGCTTCCAGTCAGCAGATAAAAGGGCTCCCAGGGTCCTTCCAGTAATGTTTCCAATCAGCTCCTCGGGTTTGAGGCTGTGGACTGTTACGGATTTTTAAACATTACTGATCCCTTGGTAGGCAACAGCTCTCTCACAACCCCACTCTCTCTCTCAGGCTTATTTATGTCTCTGCTGGAGCCCCAGAGTCTCTTCCAGTATCCTCCCAGCTACATTTATTTCTCTTGCTACCCACTGAAATCTAAATTGCAGACACCATCTATCTGGCCCAAGAATGGTTTCACTTCTGTTCACAACTAGCCAATGCTGCTCCTTACTGAGCTGGAAGGGTACAACACTATGTACATTCAGTCTAAACTGATTCAAGGAGAGAGACTGGGATGGGATTCAGATCCAGGTCCCTAACCTGGCAATAAAAATCCATTCCTTCCAGTGAGCCAGCCTTTCCATTCTGTTTTCCTACCCCTGCCCTCTCCTCTCCTCAGAAAGCTAGCAGCTCTCTGGGAAGGACTCGTCTCTCTGGCCGGGCATTGAGACATGGTGCACGCACACATATTAACAAAATACCAAAATCAGAGCCCTGTGTTTACAAATCAGTCAGGTATCTGTACTGAGATGACCACGGCCAGCTGTCACACACCACCTCACTCTAATGTGGACCTGCAGGGCCTACCCTTCATGTCCTGGAGAGGCATTTCAGTCCAAGCAAAGCCCTGGAATCCTGCCAAGAGCACAGAAGAGCTGAGCACCAAATAGGCTTTTGTGGTTTTTCCAGTGTGGTTTGTGGCTTTGCTAATGTGGGCTCCTAGGGGTATATTTTCAGAGCGTCGGGCATGGAATTAGACTTGCAACTTCTGTGACTGTAAATGGGATCCAAGCACCTAATATTTCATGCACTGCACTGGAAATGAATAACAGCTTATTCCCTCTCTCAACCCACACCCTATCCTCTCACACAGTATCCCCAGGAAAAAGGAGAGTTGAGCTCCCCAGCCTGATCGCCCCAGCACTCCAAACCCTGGATATGGCCATGGATACAAAAAGCATCATGATCCGCAGCACATTCCTGGACTTTCAGCCACTGGGCTGTACTATCTGCCCACTTAAACTGGTTTAACTCTACGGACTTCAATGGAGTTATCCCGATTTACTTAGGTGCAGAATGAGAGGAGAATCAGGCCATGTTTTGCCCAAATTTTTGGCTTTTCCCAACATGAGGCTGTAGATGAGAGGCCTTCATTGCAAGCAGACTTTTAGGTTTAAAACAGATCTTTTCTGGTTAATAGTAGCAGATATTTGCTTAAAGCAGGAGAGCCTGGTCTAAAGAGATTACAAGATAAATAGATGAGCCAGTTCCCTCTCATTCCTGACCTTTGCTGTTGGTTATCAGCCATGCCTTGGCAGCATCATGAGTGGGACGGTGCAGAACTGGCAGTTAGAACTATGCAAACTAAGAATTCCTAAAAGATGTTAAAGAATGGCAGCATAAGCGGTGGCGAAGCAAGGTGCTGATCTGTTACAAAGACGCTCTTCAGCAGGGTCTGTGGCTAAAGAAGAAGGGGAAGAAACTTGCCTGCTAATAGCATATGCAGAGAGACTTCAACAGAAAGGCACTCTGCAGCCCTACTCCTGTGCCACAGTGAAGGGCCGTAGATCACTTTGATTCTCCTTTGATACTGCAGCTGCGAAATCATAAAAAAGGAGAACTTCTCAGAACAATCGACAGCTTCATCAACTCGGATTGCCATCCCGCTACCTCAGAAGTCAGCCCCTCCTCCTGTGGAGAAATGACAACCTACGCCATAGAGAAAAACGGCCTGAACCCGGGATGCTCTCTCCGGACTTCAGGAGCCATGTTTGGAGCCCAAGACTGGAAACATCCCTTCCCTTTCACAAGGGGATTTACACAAGAGACACTCAAAGCATTTCAAGAAATCAGAGTCACGACATAGGACTCAGAACTGTGCCCCTCATAGTGCAGGAAACGCAGATAGGATCATTTAGGTCCCCTCTTGGAGGCTACGGTCAACGCCCTTCCACACCAAACCATGAAACCGTTTAATGCTCAAAAGCACAACTGACAGCACAGACAGGTACTGCGGTCCAGTGAATAAGCATTACTCTAGGATGCTACTGTTCTGCCCACTGTTTTGTTGCGACCATGGGGAAATCACGTCCCCTTTCTGCCTCAGTTTCTCTTCCCACCATTTGTCTGGTCTATTTATTTTGTGATCTCTTTAGACCAGGGACTGTCCCTCACTAACGTTTGTGCAATACCAAGCATAAATGGAGTCCTCTAGGCGAGCGGTTCTCCAACTTTTTGGGCTCCGGAGCCCTTTACATGCGTAAAAATTTATGCGGCGCCCCAGCAGTCCACTGATTGTACGTGTTGTACCTATCGAAGTTTCCAGCTTGTCAACCTCGGGGAGCCCCTGGAGATGTCTCACAGAGCCCTGGGGCTCCGCAGAGCAGAGTTTGAGAAACACTGCTCTAGGCAATACAAATATATTGTAAGCAGCAGCTGTCTCCGGACTTTATAGACATAGGTCAAATCTAGCTGAGCCACTTCAGTTACCAACTTCAGTTAAATTAGTACAACTCCCTTGTGTGGACAGACTGATTCTGGTTTAACAGCATTTACACTGTTGTAATTTAAATCAGTGATGTATCTTTTTTGGTTTGGACAAGGCTCCAGGCCAGTGGCTCTTAACCTGCAGTATGTGGTTCACTAGTGGTCCATGACTGCCTTGCAGATAGGCCTTGGCTTGAGCTCAGCCTTCCCTCTCCCTATAGCAGGGAGTCCATGCTGGCGCTCCAGCCTCGCAGCCAGCACTGGCTTCCCACTAAGAGGGGAGTGCAGACGGCCTCAAGCCTCCCCACTGCATCCAGCTCTGGGGAGAGCAAGCAACTCTTCGCGTTGCCACTTCTCCTCCCCCCTGGCTGGGGAAACAGCAGCACATGGAATATCGGTCAATGGGAGCAGCGGGAGCCTGCACCTGGACACAGTGCCTGGGAGGACCGGGATTGCAAAACTAGGTATGCGCCCCCCGTGCCCAGATCCTGTACTCTCAACCCCTCACTCACACACCCTCACCGAGACCCCACATGCCCAGCCTGCTCCTGCACCCTCCCTTGCTCCTGAGCCTTCCCTCGTGACCAGACTCTGCAACCACCTTTGCTCCTGCATCCTCCCTCCGATGCAGACCCCCCTCACTCTCAGCCCGCTCATCCACCCAAACTCCCTCCTAGTCTGCTATCCCACTCTCAGCGCACTCCTGTGACCATTCTCCCAGACCGATCCTCCATTCTACCCTCAATCCCACTTCTGCGACCAACCTACTGGCCAGAGCCCACCACACCCTCAGCCCACCCCTGCACTCAGCTTCCTGGTCATCAACCCACCTTAGCCCTCTCATGCATTCCACCTCCCACCCAGATCTCTCCCCCCATCCTCAGCCTGCTCCTATGCCCAACCTCCAACCCAGACCTCCTCCCCCAGCCTGCTCCTGCACCCTACCTCCCGGCCAGAGCTGGCACCTTCTGCCTGCTCCTGCACCCATTTTATCATGGGTGGTAAGTTGGTGATCCCTGGAAAGGACTGTGTTAAGCAGGATGGGCCATGGGCCAAAAAATTTGAGAACCACTAGACTCATCATTCAGCCTGCCTTTCTTAAACAAACCAATGGAAAGCATGCCAAAACCAGTCTTCATTTATCTCTTTCGACCGCTAGGCTCCTGGATCCCCATCAGCCAGGTATCAGGCCCGAACACTGACTAGAAATTGCATTACCCATTTTGTCCATATGGGGATAACGGGAGGAGAGATTTATGGTCCTATCACTAGACCCTTCTTCTGCAGTCACAGCTGTTGATAACACTATAAAAGGATAGACTTGTAGGACTGGAAGGAACCTTGTGAGGTTATCTAGCTCAGTCCCCTGAACTCATGGCAGGTGTGAACATTAGATATCTTTATCTTGCCTTGCAGGACGAACAGAGATCAATGAGAAACTGGGCTGATGGCAGTCTTTCCACTGGGCCTGTATTCTGAGAGAACGGTGATGGGTAATTTCTCCTTGTGCTACCATGCATCTGATCCACAATGTTTCTCAAGGTCCTAGACTGTCTCCCATCCTCTTCTATTGTTTATATGAAACCATGGGGAGAAAGGATGGCACACTGGAGACTCAAAATTGTCAACAATATGCAGGCAATCCCATGTCTACATCTCACTCCCCACCACTGACCAACTATCTCAGTACTTGGCCAATACCAGGAAGTAGAGTAAAACTCTCTCTGAACACTGAGTCTGCCATTAACTGCCAGTTCAGTTCCTAGCCTGGCAATTCTCCTGGACTCATCACAGCTTCTACATATTCTGAGAGCTATAGCTGCTCGAACCAGCTTTTTCCATCTGAAATTGCCTAGGGGCTGTCTCTCAAGGACCTGAGAGAAGCAATCCATGCCTTTGGGATTTCCAGGGCTGGCTATCCCAACTCATTGTACTTGGGAATACGCACACTGACCTTACAAAACTCCAGCTTGCCCAGAATGGAACAATCTGATCCATTTGTAATACCAGCCACTAACGACACGAGCCACTCGAATCGCTACTCTGGCTCCCCAGGCAGAACTGGTGAACTTCACAATCTCAGTCCTCATCTTGAAGTTTCATCCATAGCGACAGATCAAACTAACCAAGAGCAGGAGCTCCCTTAGCGGTTACGTTCCATAGGAACAATAAAATAGTCCAATTTCCAAAAGCGGGGCACAATGCTTGGTTGGCAACCCACTCACTGCAATGGTGAGAATCACATTACAGACCTCACATCCTTCAGAAGTAACTGCAAAACTCACTTCTTTCCCCCCTCATCTTGCCTCTAGTGAAAAGGAAAGAGAAAGGCTATGTCTAGACTCCACTGTTAAGTTGGAAAAAGATATGCAGATGGCGTACCTTTTTCCAATCTACTTTTTTCTAAAATTAGTCTTCTGACAAAGCAATGCAGTCTAGACTTATTCAAAGAGGAGAAACTCTTACACACACAGAAACCTGCAGAAGGCGGCAAAATCTAGTCCATTTGCTGCCCATTTAGGTTGAGGATCAAGGTTTATCCTGCCCAAAAGCCTGGTTATTGTAATTAAGAACAACGGCAAAATCCAAGAAACTTCCTGTCTGGACAAGATCCATCAAGCTGATGGGGCTGTTAGCTTGAGTTACTGGTGGCATTAAACCAGTATCTTCCATACAACTATATCCATCTATCAGAGTCCAGACATCATTCTGGCTGCCCTTGTATGATGTTCTCACGGTCATGTATCTACTCATGGCTGCTTTCATAAGGTAGAAGGATGGTCCAGTAATTAGGGCGTCAGCTTGATACATGGGGCTTGTTCACATGAACTTTTAGATTGTGGCAACCTGGGATGTGAATCTGCTTTGTGAGAGCCAGCTGTGGTCTCACTGTCTGTGTGGACCTTTGTGAGGTGTGTGACCAGTTAGCTAAAGCACTCTAAGCTAGATCAAAGCGCTCTGAGGAGTTGTTACTGCACATCAGCATGGTACACACAGACAGTTAGATAGTGGCAGGCTAGTGAGGGAGGATTCATAACCCATCTTGCTGAGTTCTAACTGTTCATGTAGATTCGGCCTGGGGGGAAAGACAAAGACTTCCTGTGGGATCTTAGGCCACTCACTTAAATCTCTCTGAACCTCAGTTTCACCATCAGCAAAACGGGGAGAATTGTATGATAATAGATACTATATAGATAATAGATAATATAGGATATGGGTGTTGGGTGGATAAAACACTTGGAAGATTATGAAGTGTTCAGATATAATATAGCCCCATTAGCACCGCATCTAAAACAGGACATGTTTTAAAAAGTTATTTTTTTAATCATAAAAAATAAAAATCAGGGATTTTGCGGTCATGTACAGAGCCTAGCGCCTTGGTCCCCCTTACCTTGCAGAGGCTATACAGTATGATCAGGATCCCTCCTAGGAAATAGCTGCTGGATGGATCATCCCCCATGATGTATTTATACCACAGCTGGATTGGGACAAGGGAACGGAACAGCTGGCTCAGCTCTTCAATAATCAAATAAAACTTTCCCTGTAAAACATAAATTATACAAATTATCTGTGTTGCCAGGAAGCCACGAGGAGAAGCAAAAGGCTCTGATGTGAGAGTTAAATGTTATGAGGAGTTCTGGATGTCCATCACCTCTCAGGCTCTTTGCTAATGGTAGCACAGACCAGTATTGTTGAGTTGCAACTAAGGCCCTCTTCAGGGCCACCTAATTTAGCACTGAGAAAGGGACAAGTATCTAATTTCTTCCTTGCGCTCCCCTGGGAAGTTCGTTTTATCCAGCTCTCGTCTACAGTCCGACACTTAGCAGCTTTTCAGGAAAGGACTTTCTCTTTGTGATGTTTGGAGAGTGTCAAAAGGAAGACAGCCTGCTGGCATATAAAAGAAAAGGCGTGCAAGACTTTCCCTGGCCCCATCTCTGTGCTGAAGGCAGAGTATTACTATTGTACAACCAGCTTGGCAGTCCTATGTTGCGGAGAATCCTAGTGAATCAACTTGCAATGCACGGGGCAAGAGAATTCATCCATCTCTCTGCTCTCCATTAGAGAGCCATGCATCTTGCAGGAATGGGCCTTGTGCCTTTTCTAAAACTCCACTGAAACAATTCTCTCATCTTGGTATTTCCTCGAGATTTTAAACCTTTTATGCTTACTAAGGACACCATTAAGGTGCCATGGTTTACCTTCAGGTTCATCATATCCCTGAGAGGTCACAATAGAAGTATGTTTACTAACTCCATTTTCCTTTGCTACCCACCAGCCAGAACCAGCACCGAGAAGCTGGCTACATAAATAGAATTTAATTTCTGATCTCCCAACCTTGATGAGTATCCATTTTTGTTTTGTCACTTATCACTTGCAAGGAAGAATTAATGCCAGGGCAAAGGGATGGGACCAGGGGTCATGAACATAAACTGAGAGATCAGCTGTAAGGGCATTAACACTCTAAAAGTTTTAAATTTTAAGATGTCAAGATTTTCAATTTGATAAAGATAGGGAAGGAAGGGAAAATTCCCCTAGAATTCAGCTGCGTGCACCACAGGAATAGTATCACTGATGTCATCATCACAGGTCGCTGTCATTAATCGCCATCGGTGGGGAGTGGGGATTGAGTCCTCTACAGTCCAGGAAAAAAAGCAGCAGCCAGCACCCTCCCCCTGGGTTTCAGAGATGAGATCACTTGGCAGGCTGTCCTGCTGTGCTGAACAAATCGAATCCTTCAGAGAGCTCTGGCATTCTCATGATCTCATATCTCCCATGGGACAGCAAGTGAGGTCACACCAGCGGTTGCTAAAGGACCTGGGCTTTTTTCTCCCCACCTCCTTCGCCCCTCCCCCCCCACCGCTTCTCTTTTTAATCCCATGTGGCATCACATAGCAAAAATGTAACAGCAACAATCAGGGATTCTAAATGTAAGCAATTTATTAAATTAGCAAGAAGGGCTTGCTAGCCAGACTCACACTTCTGTACAATCATCATTTATTTCATAAGCCCCTGTGACAGAGGGTCGCAGTTTGCTAATGAGTAGTCTATCACTTTCTTTAGCAGAGGCAGCTCTTCATCCTCCTCTCAGCATCCAATCCCTGAACAAAAACAACTGGCAAGCAAAATGCACTGAACATTTCTAAAGCAAGCACTTTGCTGCCTCTCTTTTGTAATTCTCTCTCCCACCAGACTCAGACTTTTCCTCAGACAGTTCAGCATCCATAATAGACGGTCTTGTTCTAGGTCAACACTTGTCCTGTATCTTCACACAAAACATCAGAAATCTACCAATGATCAAAACATCCCTGCTCCTGAGATACTTAGGAGCTGGGCAGGGCTAAAACTAATCTCCTGCAGAGTTTCTGAATTTCCCAGGGTAGAGCAGAGGGCTGGAAAACAATCAGGTAAGCTCTGGCCAAGAAGATGAATTAGACGAGGTAGAACTGTGTAGAGATGAAATTGCAGCAAATGGAAAATTCTGGTTCTGTTAACTAAGGCTAGGAAGTGTTAAGGTAATTCCAGCTCACTCACTTCCCCTAGGCTAGCCCTTGCCACAGAGATGGACTTCTCAGCAGCCTGCAGCTATGTTAATAGCCTTCAAAAGAGTGCATCTACCAGCATGAAATGGGTATGCACCATCCAGGATGACTTATACCACCAGAATGACCATCCAAGAGAGCCTTCCAATAAGATTCATCATCACAGCCACGCTGGCTACAGCTACAAATGAGACTTAATACAAGGAAATAGTTGCCATATAAGATGTTGTTCCAGCAAAATTTTAGGGTTGTGGAGCCACATTTCAACCCTCCTGTGAGGGTTTTTTTCTTTTTAACTGCGCTTTTTTAAATTTAGGGGGAAAATCTCAAAATAGACACAAAACACAAGCAGAGAGATGACCCTGAAAAGAAGTGAGGGCTTTCTCTTTCAGCAAGTATAGAGTCAGCTACAAAATTTAGTATTTCTGATGTTATCACAGGCATTACTATGAGCTCTGCCTAATAAGATTGGTTGTCATGTCCCATTATAAAAGCCTGTTTCCAGCTGCTTATAAAACTGTGCTGAACTTCAATCATTTGAGCTGAAATCTTCTATGCCACCTATCTTCCTCATGCTCTGTGCTATTTATTTAGTGAATTTCTAAATTTCAGCCATTTCTGACAATGAAGTGTGGGTAAAGTCCATTGCTTTGCCAGGGTTAAAAATAAATAGTCCATACAACCATTTTGCAGAGAGGGTGCAGCACGACCACTCTTTGGAGCAGGGGCCCAGAGGTGGCAGGTCCTTCATGTGACTGGACTGCACATGTGGCATCCCAACAGAGCAGATGTGCATGCACCAAACCAGGGCTGCAAGAGGACTTTTCCCTGAAACTGCAGCTCTTAGCTGCTCCAGGACAGGGCGAGGCCAAGAATCAGAACTCAGAGCAGAGCTTCTATCTCTCCTGTGCTGTCACTGATCTCTGGCTGGTGTCAAAGCAGTATGAAGGAGGAAGTAAGTGCATGGGTAGAAAAATAAATTGAGGTGAGGGGAAATTGGAATGGCAGTTCAAGTGAGACTGGGACTAGGACTGACTGGAAAAGGAAACTGGTACTGGGATAAAAACCTGGAAAAGCGGAGACTGGGAATGGGATGAGGAGTCAACGGTGAGGAAGAGATATGGCTAGTACAGTGACAAAAAGAAGGAGACAAAAGGGCTTGCGACCACTAGGGAACACTCCTCTCCAGAGTGTGGAATGGAACCCAACACCGCAGAGTCTCACCATTCCTCTACTTTCAGCAACTATCTGTGAAACTTGCTGGCAAAGTATGTGCCTCATTTCCCTCTGACACTGGTCCACAGAGGACAACAACTTACTTTGTTCTCACCCACAATTATTTCCAGTTTGAGAACTACTTATACCTCCAGATCAGCGGCACAGCCATGGGTACACGCATGGCCCCACAGTATGCTAACATCTTTATGGCTGACCTAGAACAACGTTTCCTCAACTCCCGTCCCCTTTCACCCCTCCTCTACCTACGGTACATCGATGACATCTTTATGATCTGGACACATGGCCAAGAAACACTGGAGATATTCCACAGAGATTTCAACAACCTACACCCCACCATCAACCTCAGCCTGGACCATTCTACACGAGAGATCCACTTCCTGGACACCACCGTACAAATCAACAATGGAAAATTAGACACCACTCTCTACAGAAAACCCACCGACTCATACAGTTACCTACATGCATCCAGCTCCCATCCAGAACACACCACACGATCCATCGTCTATAACCAAGGCCTTCGATACAACCGCATCTGCTCTAACCCCACTGACAGAGACCAGAAGCTTCAGGATCTCTACCAAGCATTTATAAATCTCAACTACCCACCCAGAGAAACAAAAAAGCAAATTGAAAGAGCCAGACGAATACCTAGAAACCATCTACTTCAAGACAGACCCAAGAAAACCAACAATAGAACACCACTTGTCATCACCTACAACCCCCAACTTAAACCTGTCCAACACATTATCAATAAACTACAGCCTATATTGGAACAGGATACCATACTCAAAGAGGCTCTGGGAGACAGACCCATAGTCTCCTATAGACAACCACCTAACCTCAAGATGATTCTTACCAACCACCACAGGACATACCACACTAATACCAACCCTGGTACCTTCCCTTGCAACAAACCCCGTTGCCAGCTTTGTCCACATATTCATTCTGCTGATACCATTATTGGACCTAACCAAGTGAGTTATAAGATCAAGAACACATATTCCTGCGCATCCAGAAATATAATCTACGCTATCATGTGCCGAAAGTGTCCGTCTGCTATGTACATTGGACAAACATCTCAGACACTTCGCCAAAGGATTAATGCCCACAAAACAGATATCAGACAAGATCACAAAGAGAAAACAGTTTCTTGCCACTTTAACCAGAAAGGACACTCTCTAAATGACTTAGCCACCTGCATTCTGCTACAAAGACCTTTTACATCTGCACTTGAAAGGGAATCCTCTGAACTGTCATTCATGTTAAAATTCGACACTTACCAACAAGGACTTAACAAGTCTTTGAACTTTCTCACCCATTACCAAGACAGTTTCCCCAATTATCACCTGTAATACCATTAACTCACAAACATCCCACTCTCCCTACCTTTAATATCAGCAATTCACAGACACTTACCTTCCTTCCTCCCCCTTCCCACCCCCCCGCATCCCCCTTCTGTTCTGCAATGTGATTTGTCCTTTTCATATTTGTTCATTTTTTTAAATTGTATCCTTTGGTATATATGGTTGTGACTACTTTCTTCCACTATTTGATCTGAGGAAGTGGGTCTGGCCCACGAAAGCTCATCATCTAATAAACCATCTTGTTAGTCTTTAAAGTGCTACATTGTCCTGATGGAATTAGCTTTGTCACTTTGCTTTTTTTGTTTGTTTCCTAAACAGAGAAAATGACACAAAATCAGGGGAACCCATTAAGGTTGCAATGCGAAACACTAAGAAGTTATCAAAAGCCAGAAGTTAAG